GAGATGCGCTTTTTTTTCAGGATCTGGACCGGAGCTTTTTGCTTCAGGGTGCAACTAACTCTGATTTTCATGATCCATTCATTCTTTTTAGATTCATCGGTAACTCGAATGAAAGAAAATTTTTTTGGGTTAACTTTCATCCCTTTATTCGATGCTGTATTAACGATTCATCGGTGACTCGAATGCAAGATTTTTTTTTTTTTGGTTAACTTTCATCCCTTTATTCGATGCTGTATTAAAATGCATGCATATTTACATCCGCCCTGTCATGCAACGTAGCGCAGTGCAAACGAGAGCGGAGTTGGATTGACGCAATGCGCGTCTCCCCGAAATCAAAGCTGTGTCTCAAGCTTTCCGCCTGGAAACGGCCCGCCTTGCAGGATGCTTCCTGCCGCCGGTTGTCAAAGCAGAACGCCGTTTGTTTGCCCGGCGCCACATTGCGATGAGCTTCAACACCACCCCCTACCACCAACCCTTGACCCCACTAAAACTCGCTTTGCGCACTATTCCCTAGCAAAGGTGCCTTGACCTGCTTTTTCTGTTTCTTCTCTCTGTTGTTGTTGTTGTTGAGGATCCCAAACAGTTTGCCAGACTCGTCAGGGATTTCACCAGCATCAGTGATGTCTCGTTTTGGTGGAAATATTCTCGGTTGCCAATTTCTGCTCGTCATTCTGCTCTGCCTCACGCAAACAATATTTGAACTCAAGGCTGGGCCGAGTATAGTGCGGACGGTGCTGACGTATTCGAGGCCTTCATTAAGCTGTACACGTACTTATAATTAGTCGTTGATTTATTGTAATGAATTAAAGAAAAAAAAAGCGACCAAAGGGTGGCTAGCGTTACACTAGAATGTGAGTTAAAGATCGAATGAAAATGGAGCTCGCTAAGGTTTGTGAAGTTGCCGTAACTTTTTTGTTTTTTTTTTTGTTTTTTTTTGCCTGCGCGGCAGTCCATCAACCTGATTGAGCGCGGCAACCCATCGCGCAGCCTGGAGCAGGTGTGCCGCTGGGCCAACACGCAGCAGCGCGCCGACCCCGATCACACCGATTACCACGATCACGCCATCTTCCTCACCAGGCAAGATTTTGGCCCCGCAGGTATGCAAGGTACTGTATTCTACTCTCGATCGAGGCCTGTGCAGACTGACTGCTGAATTCTGCTTGCGTTCACAAAGTGGAGGTAAGGTCCACGAGGGCCATGTGCAGGCCCCCCCCATTTGCTGACAATTGACCTTTTCGAAAAAAATTCAAAAATAAATTCCACAGTGTATCTTTTACCTTTAAAAGCAACTTTTTTTAATCGCGGAAAAACAAATTTTTTAATCTCGTATTTACATTTTTTTTGAAACGTCAATACTTTGAACTCAAATGACTTCTTAACTTGATTGTACACCTTTTTAGCTCTTATTTTGAAAATATATTAAATTTTATGTAACAAATTATCTTAATCTGAAATACACTTTTTTAAAATGACATTTTACTCATCGAAAAATGTACTTTTATCTTAAAAAAAATGACTTCATCTGGAATATGTACAACTTTATCGTCAAAACATCTCTACGGATTTTTTGTTTTTTTTGTCTTTCTCCACATTTTTTACCTCAAACATCCAACTTTTTAATCTCACACTTGAAATTGTACACGGCGTGGTATTAAGCGACTGGTCAATTGAGTGAGCGGCTCTTGAGAAGCGCACACTGGACGTTTGACCCCCCCCCCGCCCCCTTCAATGGTGAAAAAAAAGGGATTGTCCAACGTTTTTGGCATGGAGTGAAAAATCAGAAAGATTTCTCTTGGCAAACTTTTCATATCAGCCTAACGGGGGCCTCATGCTACATATGTCCGGTCCTCCATTTCAGATCATACTGTACATGTTCCCAAGTGTGCCCATCGCCAACGAAACTTGCTCTGTGCTCAAGTGGAGCGCCTGGCGGCTGAACTTTTCGTGATCTTTTCCATCGCACGTGTCGTGTTCAGAAGGAGAGGTCACGTTTTACCTGCCGGGCCGCCGTCGCCTTGGCGACAGCAGTGTTGTGATCACAACAACCCGGGGGCTATTTTTGGGGAAAGACGGGCAGGCGGAGGGGCTCTTGTTCTCGCTAAATAGACATTGCACCGGCTTGTCAACGTTTGACTTTTAGGCAGGGATCTTCCGCGTTCAAATAAAAATCCGGACGACTTATGACATTCCCGGGAAACTTTGGCTAGCGTTGGCACCTGCTCCCCGTTTGTTCTTCTAAAGCGGGGGTGCCCATTACGTCGATTGCGATCGGCCGGTAGCTCGCGGCTTCGACCCAGGTGGATCGCGAGGGGTTTAGAGGACAAAAAAGCAAACCAAACATTTGTGTATCTCTGTACATGTTAGTAATATACGTTTTGTGTTCATGTACACTGCACCGGAATCTTCCTTTCAGTCTCACTTTCACAAAAAATATGAAAAAAAAAAATAAAACCTTTTACCGATGGTGGCGCGTGACCGGTGTCACCGGAGGTTAGCGCTCAGCAGTCTGCAATTGCAACGTGCGCTCAGAGCTATTGCGAGAGAGCTTTTTTTTAATATTATAAGTCAAAGTTCGTTTCGTGTGCACTTTACCGATGGCACTCGCAAAGAATGGCAATCGGGAGGGCTGAGAGAGAAGCCTTTTAAAACAGTACGCGTGAGCTACGATCGCTAACAGGCTGCAAAAGTGCATCGCATGCATCCCGCGTCAGGTCTCCCACGAAGGTCGGCAGGAAATCCTTTTCACAAACTCAGAAACTCGTGTCTACTTTTTGTTTGGTTCATCTTCGATGGCTGTTGCTCATCCTGGCATGCATGTGCAAGTGCGCGCGTATTAAACCGAGCACAACTAAATCTAAATTTAGTCAGCTAGTTTTTTTTAAGTTGGCTAGATAGTTGGCTAATGATTAGTGTACTTTTAAATTCTATTGATTAAAAACAAACCAAATAACTTGTTTGTTGTTTAGTCAGCTAGTTATCAAGTTATTTATGAATAAACATTTGATAACAGTTCGTCAAATTGTTTTGCAGAGAGAACTATAAAGTTAGCCACATGATCAAACCAGCAATTCATATTTGGCTAGTTGAACAAATTGTTTTTCAGATAAACCTTTACGTTAATGGCCAGAGGGGGAAAACCATCCAAAAGTAAAGTATTTTGACTGTGCTGCTGCTTCTCCATCATTGGCATAATGTCGCTTTCCTATGCAAAGGGTCGACTGTCTGCTTCTTTAATCTTTTCATCCGCCTGCTGGATAAAAGAAATTGCTTTGGTGTCACGCGCATCGCTCAAGCCATCCATTCATTCGTCCATCCTTATGGCTGTGCCGGCGCAAAGAAACGTGACACCGACATTGGCGCTCAGCATTTTTTTTCTGTCCATCTCCCTTTCTTTCTGCTTTTTTACCTGCATGCCAAAAACATTTCAGAAGCGGCATCGCTGCACACCTCTTGATCGAGTTGATTCGCGTCCTCGTGCTTTGCTCTGTGATCCATTTGTCTGTCTACGTACGTCTTTGCTTACGGTGAAGATCGAGTCGAAGGTGACGAGGCTCGCTGCGTTGCCAGCATGAGCGCGCTGCTTTTGGGGTCTCAGATCGTACATATTTGTGCCGATGTGTAAATATATATACACGCGTCTTTGTAAAGGTCAGGCGTACATAATGATGGTGCACACTCATGAGATGCGTTTCCATGGTGACCCGCACTCCTCTAATGACAACCACGGTCGTGAGCGGCATAATTCAGGTCATGTGTCCAGCCTGTGTTTGCTTGTCGGCCAGGTTACGCCCCGGTGACCGGCATGTGCCACCCGCTGAGGAGTTGCACCCTCAACCACGAGGACGGCTTCTCCTCCGCCTTTGTGGTCGCCCACGAGACGGGACATGTGTGAGTGCCACGACCTGATTGCTCTGGCTTTTTTTTTTAATCTATCCCAGTCCCTTTTTGTTGTTTCACTTTGACTTTAGTTTTGAACTGGAGTAACCATGACGTATATCTCGCCGCGTCTGCGTTTTGTCCGCCGGCAGGCTGGGTATGGAACACGACGGGCAGGGCAACCGATGCGCCGACGAGACCAGCATGGGAAGCATCATGGCTCCGCTGGTCCAGGCCGCCTTCCACCGCTACCACTGGTCGCGCTGCAGCAAGCAGGAGCTCAGTCGCTACATCCAGTGCGTCCCTCCCCTTCGCCGTCCCATTTTGTCACACGCCACGCCGTCGTGCATATTGCTTCTTTTCGCCCCGCCCTCAGCTCGTACGACTGCTTGCTGGACGATCCCTTTGAGCACAAGTGGCCCAAACTTCCCGAGCTGCCCGGGATCAATTATTCCATGGACGAGCAGTGCCGCTTTGACTTTGGCGTGGGTTACAAGATGTGCACGGCTGTAAGTACGACAAACGGGCCCGCCCACAATCATGCGCCTTTTCGGGTGCAAACTCGCACCCAGCGCTGCTTTGTCCTGCAGTTTCGCACGTACGACCCCTGCAAGCAGCTGTGGTGCAGCCACCCGGACAACCAGTACTTCTGCAAAACCAAAAAAGGCCCACCGGTGGATGGAACGGAATGCGGGCCGGGAAAGGTGTGGCGCATTTACCATTTTTTTTTCCTACAAAAAAATAAAGTGAATGTCAAACAGATCAAATGCATTTTTGTTTTTAAATGAAAAACAAAAATAATGCGTGGAACTAAATTTTATTTTTGTTTATATTTTAAAGTTTCTTCCATTGTACGGAACTAAAACTGTCATTTTTTTTTTTCCTACAAAAAATAAAGTGAATGTCAAACGGATCAAATAGATTTTTGTTTTTAACAGAAAAACAAAAATAGTGCATGGACCTAAATTATATTTTTATTGTTTATCTTTTAGTTTCTTCCAATGTACGTAACTAAAACTCATTTTTTTCCTACAAAAAATAGTGAATGTAAAACAGATCAAATAAAATTTTGTTTTTAACTGGAAAAAAAAAAAGCATGGAACTAAATTATATTTTTATTTATCTTTTAAAGTTTCTTTCAATGTATGTAATAAAACTCATTTTTTTCCCTACAAAAAAGTGAATGTAAAACAGATCAAATACATTTTTGTTTTTAACTGAAAACCAAAAAAAAAAACGCAGCGAAATAAATTCTATTTTTTATTTATCTTTTAAAGTTTCTTCCAATGTACGTAACTAAAAGTGTCATTTTTTTTTCCTCCAAAAAATAATAAAGTGAATGTAAAACAGATCAAATACATTTTTGTTTTTCATGCGTTCCCATGGGAATGTCTAGTTTTGGAACCAACTCCGAAAGTTGAGGCTGGAAATGAGTCGGTGATGCTCTGAAAATCTTGTCATCGTGTGCGTGTGTTTTTGTGTGTGCGTGCGCGCTAAGTGGTGCTTCAAAGGCCACTGCATTTGGAGGTCCAGCCAGGAGGAGCCTCAAGGCCACGACGGCAGCTGGAGCTCGTGGTCCAAGTTCGGCTCGTGTTCGCGGACGTGCGGGGGCGGCGTTCGCTCCCGCACCAGGCAGTGCAACGACCCCCCGTGAGTGGCCGCCGCTAAGTTTAGCTTGCGATCTTTTGCTCAGGTGCCATGACAACGTGTTACCATGGAGCCCGTTGCTATTGTTTGGGGTTTGCGAGCTGGAGCTGGTTTTCCATTAAAAAAAAGCATTTGCAATCAATGGCTATGTTGCGTCATCAAAAAACAAAGCGCCCTGGCATGCCAAAAAACGCAAAACCGGTGCTTGTCAAACTTTTGACATCAAAACCAGTTCCGGTGGCAGCCACCTGCCCATGGAGGAGCCGAGCAGCCAATTTTTGCTCCCGCCACACTTTAGCAAAATCCCGCACCGTTCACTTGATTTGGATGTGAACATCCTCAAAGGAATTTTGTTCATTTCATTGTGGAGTCGATTTGAGAGAATCGAGTTTAATTGGCGTGTCGCTCCTCGGAAGGTTTACCTGGACCCGCCGGTCCTATGGGGCAAAACTGTTCAGGGTCATCAGGTTGAAAACTCATTTTTACAAATGTAGGGTACTCACTCCCATGTACAGCAATTTTCTTTCTCCGGTTTGTGTCAGGCCGGCCTACGGCGGTCGCGAATGTCCCGGCTCCGACTTAGACTACCAGATGTGCAACATGGAGGAGTGCGCCGGCCCCTACGAGGACTTCCGCGCTCAGCAGTGCCTCCAGAGGAGCAACAAGTATCACAACAACATGAAGCACACCTGGCTGCCTCACGAGCACGCGGACGGTAAGAGCCGCGTGAGCTGCGCCGGCGACGCGAAACCAGGAAAATGAGCGACACCCGCCGCGGTTATCTTGTCGTCGTTTGTGTTGGCAGAGAGTCGCAAGTGCGAGCTGAGCTGCAGGTCCAAGGAAACGGGCGAGGTGGTCTTCATGAATCAGGTGATGCACGACGGAACCCGCTGCAGCTACGCGGACCACTTCAGCGTGTGCGCGCGCGGCGAATGTCTGGTACGTGCAACCCTGCTCTCGCGCTTCGCAACCAGATCGTAACATGCCCTAAGAACATACAATACCATAATCAGAGCCAGAACCCTAACCTAAACCCTATACTATTAACCAATCATGAGGTCTTATTGGCGCGGCATCGCGTCGACGATGATCTCGATTCTGATCATCCTCACGACGGCCGCCTTTGCTCTTCCCTTCCTCTCGGCAGCACGTGGGCTGCGACAAGGAGGTGGGCTCTTACAAGGAGGAGGACAAATGCGGCGTGTGCGAGGGCGACAACTCGCACTGTCGCACCGTCAAGCAGTCGCTCACTAAGACGCCCAAAAAGAACGGTAACCCCAGCGCTGCCGTTCTCGCACCTTTTGTCAAAGGTCTAAACTTTTTTGCATGCGGTTCATGTCCGTGTGGTCGTCACTCATTTTTGCCGCTCGGAAGAAAGAAGTAGCGTGTGTGGGAACTGTTCTTTACAAATATCACCAAAAGGCCTTTTCAGATGATTAAATTGAAAGAAAAAAAAAATGATGGGCTGTATGTCTCGCTAGGAATGCTGAAAATGTTCGACATCCCAGTGGGCGCCCGGCACATCGTCATTGAGAAGAACGACACCTCGCCTCATGTCATCGGTGAGATGAAAGCCTTTGTGGCAGAATGTCAGCGTCTTTTTTTTTTTTTCTTGGTCACGTCAACGAGCATTAACACTGACTTGACAGCGCCATTCTCATGCCATGACGCTTGATGGGTTGGACTTGGAAAAGGTGGAGAGATCCAGCTGTGCAAAATTCTGAATGACTCACCAGGGTTGGGGTCAGTCGGGGTGGGGGTGCCTCGATGCGGACAAAGTCAACCTGCTGCTTCCCATTCCATTTGAGTGGTTATTAAGGAACAATGCTATATATATTTTTTTTTCTTCCCGAGGAAATGTCACGGGCTAGTTGAGCTCACTTCAGGCTATACATTTGCATGTTGGGGGGGGCGTGGGAATCGACACCAGGGGAAAATATATATATCTAATTTTTTGTGATTTCCTTCCTGACAGCGGTGAAGAATCAAGTGTCCGGCAACTTCATCCTCAACGCAAAAAGCGAAGACGCCGAGTCCAAAACCTTCATCGAGAACGGTTTGCAGTGGGAGTACACCCTGGAGGACGGCAAAGAGGCCCTGCGGACGTCCGGTCCGCTATATGAAGGCATCTTAGTGCTTGTCAGTGAGTGCACGCACATCCGAGTCCACCTCTTCTCCCCATTTAATAGCGCTGTTGATTTGTGTTGGCAAATTGGCAGGTGATTCCGCGGGAAGAGGAAGCCAAGATAAGCTTGACGTACAAGTACATCATCCACGAGGACCTTCTGCCTCTCATCACTAACAACAACGTGCTTCTGGCCGAGTTGGATTCGTACGAGTGGGCGCTGAAGAGCTGGTCGCAGTGCTCCAAACCTTGCAGCGGAGGTCAGTGAGTGGCTTCCGCTCAGAAATGCACTCAAACGAGCATTCTCAAATGAAACCTAATCAAGTCCGCGTCGCTGCCAGGTAAAATGAGACGGCCGTAAAATCCGCCAGAGGCTGCGTCGGTTCAACCGTGATTACCGTTGAAAGCCCGAAAGTTAAAATTAGACTTGTGTAAATCTTCACAAAGCTACACGGGTTAAAATAAGACCGTTAAAAAGCCCCAAACGTGGTGGAGGTTAGAATTTGACAACTGTAAAGCCCCACAAAATTGTGCCGCTTAATATAAGGCTGCTGTAAATCACGCAGATATCGCTGCCTGGATAACTCTCGGCTCTTCAAATAAAATCTGACAAGTTGTCTGGGTTAAAAAAAAAAAAAAAAGTTTCGGAAAAAATTACGACTCCCAAAACAATCCCCTATACTTAGGTGAAAGTAAAGACACCCCCCCGCCCCCCAAATTGAACAACATAAATGCGGGCAAAAAGTCCTTAGAGCGGCATTCCCTCAGTTCTGGATATGTTGGGCTTTGAAAGAACTTGATTGAAATCCACACAGAATGACTTAAGCGAGGAATATTTTTGCTCCCTCAGGCATCCAGTACACCAAATATGGCTGCAGGAGGAAGAGCGACAGCCGTTTGGTGCATCGCAACTTCTGCGATGGCAACAAGAAGCCCAAACCCATCCGCAAACGCTGCAACGTCCAGGAGTGCAGCCAGCCCGCGTAAGTTCACCCAGAGGTGCCCCCTGGTTATGGAAGCGGTCAATTGTGGACTCTGTGAGGACCGAAGCGTGTTGCCGTCGTGTCCTCCAGGTGGGTGGTGGACGAGTGGAGCGCCTGCAGCAAGACGTGCGGGAAGCAAAGCTACCAGACCAGGGCGGTGCAGTGCATGCAGGCGCTGCACAACGGCACCAACCGCTCCGTCCACAGCAAACACTGCACCCGGGAACGGCCCGTGCCCAAGCGGGCCTGCAACCACACGGCATGCCCCGCCCAGTGGAGGACAGGGGCCTGGTCGCAGGTTGACGCGCACGCACACGCGCAAGTGATTTCAAACTGGATCCTTGATGAGCTTGATGTGATGAACGATGGCTACGTGTGTGTGATGCTCTCCAGTGCTCGGTGACCTGCGGCGAAGGCATCCAGCAAAGGCAAGTGGTGTGCAAGGCCAGCGACAACACCGTGGGACAATGCCAGGGCAACAAACCCGAGATGGTGCTCCTCTGCAAGCCCGCGGATCCTTGTCCGGGTACGCTGGCGCGCGCCCAACGTCTCGCGGGTGATTTAGAGAAGAGAAACTCGGTTGACCAAATACGGTACCGCTTCCGAGACCGAGTATGGTTCCATGTCGGCGACAACGGAGTGAGCAAATATGGGGGGCATGAAATACGGTTCCCCTAAAGCGACTTTTCATGTGACCAAATATGATTCCACTCACGTACTGCTTAGGTGATGGCTCCTTGCTGGAGACATGCTTACAATGTTCTAACTTACTGTTGGTTCAGTGAACTGTGCCGCTGTTTTATGAAATAAGTTTTTGTCGCAGCTGTGAAAAAAGGAGAGCTGTGGTGTTTTTTTCTTTTTTTTTTTTTTTTAACGCACACTTTATTAATGGTTTTCACAGTCTCAACAAATACAGGTACATCTTTGTCTGTCTCTGTGCCTTCTCTTTTTCCGTTCGACTGGAGAGGCGTTCATGACTGCCTCCGAAAAACGTCAATTAACGATTCCTTCAATGAATTTACAAACATTGAAAATAATGCATCAAACCAGCAAATCAAGCAAGGAAATCACAAAATAAACTCTATAGCCCCCCCCTACAGAATTTATTTTGTGATTTCCTCATTTGTGAATACAGTACACAACAAAGGGATAAATAACAAACACTTCTGAGACAGTCCAGTCTCCTACATTTTACTGACATCTGATCGTTCTGTTAGCGCTACGCTCAAGGAAATGCCAAAATAAATTCTGTAGGGGGGCTATAGAATTTATTTTGTAATCTCCCTGCTTGATTTTCTGTTTTGATGCATTATTTTCAATTTTTGTAGTTTCATTGAAGTAATCGTTAATCGACGTTTTTCGCAGGCGGTCATGAACGCCTCTCAAGTCAAATGGAGGGCGCGTAGCTCCATCTAGTGGATGCATTGTAGATTGCGTCTTATAACCCAGTGTGTCCAATATATGAAAAAAAAATAGGCCATTAATTGAAGGTGCGCCTTTTAGTGTGGAAAATACGGTACGGCTTCATTAAATGAGCTCCACTGAAACACCACGTGGGTGACTAAAGGTAGTCCAAAAACTGTGGTTCCGCTCGGGTTCACCAACAATGCTTCCACACAAGGGACATCTGAAGTCACTGAAAATGGTTCCACTTTGGTGCATTTTGGGTGCATTTCGCTGGATGGTAGCAACGTTGTATTTGCCATTCCAGGACAACCGACGCCCCCTTTTGGCTTGGAGAATGTGACCATCAAAGATGAAGCCTTGCACCAAACGGTGTCTGGCCACCCGGTGCTTCAAGTCATGTCAAGTATGAAACCTTTGGCGGACTTCCTTCCGGGTGGCAAACGCTCGAGCAATCTCCGGTGGCGCCGCCGTTAAATAAAACCTTGTCACGAGTTCAAATGTCTCTCATGCTCCTCTTGTGGTTTTCTTAGATGAGGCATGCCAGGGGGATAAATCCATCTTCTGTCAAATGGAGGTTCTCGCCCGCTACTGCTCCATCCCTGGATACAACAAGCTTTGTTGCGAGTCGTGCAACAAGAACGTGGCCACGCCCCCTCCCAACCTCTCCAACGCCACCAAGACCTCGATGGAAGCCGGGTCCTCCGGCGATTCTCTCGTGGCCTCCCCCAAGCCTCCGAGACCCACTTCTGCTCAGAATCTGGCACAAACCACTAAAGGCATCAACAGGCGGACGCGGTCCACCGCCCCGACGGCCACGGGCGGCGCCGCCCACTCGGGGCCTCTTCTACCTCCTGGCAAAGCATCACCCGAGGAGCGCAGCCCCAACAGCACTTTACACCCACTCGCTGCAAAGTCAAGAAGGGACCGTTAAGGATCCGAGTGGGACTCCATCCACAGATGAAGAGCTGAGGGGTGACCTCGCGGTGGCGTGACATCATCTCCAACAATGCGGCATTTGAAAGACTGTGTTTTTCTTTTGTTTTTAACAAGGATTTTTCTCTGGACCTGTGACGGTTACCTCATCCAACCTCCAAAGAGTGACTGACGTACGGGCGCTCTGTCCTCGGTGCTGTCCAAGCGAGGTGCGTTGAAAATGTGACGACTGCGTTGTTTCCTTTGTGTTTGCAAACGTGTACAGGTGTTTGAACCCCACATGTAGAAGGACTACTGGTGAACACATGGAGTCTCACGTCTGGAATGATGGAGCAAGCAAAAACTGATGTTTTCATCTTTGCTCCTTCAAACCGATCAAAGGTCCCACATGACACTGCTAAAGTGCCCACTTTACCTTCTGCACTGGACCGCTAGCATGCCGACGAGACCTCATACTTTGACGCTAGATTGCAGGAAAGGTGACTCGACTCGATATGTGCTGAATGAGACCCAATAATTCAACTGACTAGTCTGCAAGACTGCCAACCTGACTTGGAACTTAAACATCGGACTGCTAGAGTGCCGACTAGACCTAAACCTTCCGCTTGAGTTTGTGGATCGCTCTTGAGACCTCGAGTGTCCACACAAGACAATAACGATAACCCTCTTGACCAGACTGCCAAGGGTGCTCATTAGACCTTCCACATCAGAGTTCTGAATGACTAGACCGACTGCTAGAGTAACAACCAGGCCTCTGAACTTGACCTCCAACCTCTCCAAGACGGAGACCTTCCGCATTTAGACTGCTAGAGTGGTGACTACAGGGTGTCCACAAAGTCTGGCTCCAGAGGAGATTGGAGTGGCCCCCTTGGTTCAAGCAGATTTTTCCTCCCCTTCTTTTTGTGGGGTATACGCAAAAGGAGCAGGTATACTTGTTGACAGATTCGAATCCTTTCAGGGACCGCGGTTACTACAGTGGACAGTTGATGTAATTGGGATTACAGGGTACATGAAAAGGGTTAAGACAATGCGGACATCCGTGCATTTCACAAAACGCATCAAATTATGCATTGAAAATTGCATCTAATTGCATTTTGACGTTTTGTTTTTTTTCCCTGACCATGTGCCCAGACTTTATGGACACCCTGTAGACTTCCCGCAATGGACTGCTCGAGTGCTAACTAAACCTACAACTTCCTCACTCTGGTGCGAGTGTGCCGACAAGAACTAGAGCTTCTGCGCGTGACTGCTCGAGTGGCACCTCGACGTTGCTCGCCACCGGGCTATGTGAAGGCAAACTGTGGTGCTGCTGAATTGGTTAGCAAGTCCATGTTGATGCAGCCATCTGTATCCTTGCTGATAGGTGAAGCGTGATGGCTTCTTGTTCGCTTGCGCTTCAACACCAACAGGGGAAACCAAAATATTTCCAAAACAGTACCATAGGATATTTTTGTTTGAGGTAACGTTTTGTGCGAATGTAAATAGTCTGAATGAGCCTGCCGGGGTAACAAAACAGAAATGATGCAAAAGGTGTATGTTGCATTGTGTGTGTGTGTGTGTTGGCTTTTTGTGTTTTCTGTACATACAAAGAGCTTGAAAGGTGAATATTTATTGATGAGATTTTACATGCCACCCACAACAGTAAAAAGCTGCGGGGAAAACAAAAACGAGATTCTTTTGATTTGTGTTGTGGTGTTGAGATGCGACCAACCCAAATTTAAAATACAAACCCGAGTATGCCACCTTCGTTGGAAAATATAACGGCAGTTTGAAACCTTGCTTTGAAGCCCAAACCCTAATTAGAATACCGACTTTAAAACGCTAACTCAAGTTGGAAACCTTAACACAAGTTTGAACCTTACTTTGAAATCCTAACTCTAATTTAGAAAGACGATTGTATGCAGTAAGGATTTTTAAAAAGACAACTAAATAAAGTAAGGTGTTTTTTTTTCTTCCGATGAGCATGTATAAAAAGGCCTTTTTGACCGAAAGAAATTGCCATGTGTCCTAAGGTGTTTTTGCCTGAAAAAGACCATGTAGAAAGCGTTTTTAGCTGAAAAAATATTTGGTAAAGTTATTTTTTCGAACGACCATGTATAGCAGGGTTCCCAGGGGTCCTTAAAACCCCATGTTTATTTGGGCTAAAAAAAATGCCTTACTATATGTGTTTCTAAACATAGTTTATACTCACTCAGTGACAAAATACAACACCTAACAGTAATTCCATCGAAAACCCTTGTGGAAGTAAATGTCAAATACGCCTATGGTGCAGGACAATTCATAGTCACTGGTGGTGTAGAGGAAAACATGCCGGCCTTGGAAGCATGGATTCAAATCACGTCCAGTGAGGAAAGACAAGAGTCACAGTAAGTAATGGTGTTGAGAACCACCCAACTTTCACTTCCTCACAAGATAAAGTGTCTTTGTCTTTATTTCACCTCTTAGCATGTTGATGATTATAAGCATGCTTTTTGAACTGTCATGTGGTTTGCTAAAGGATCTTTTATCTTGGAGGAAAACATGCCGGCCTTAGAAGCATGGATTCAAATCACGTCCAGTGAGGAAAGACAAGAGTCACAGTAAGTAATGGTGTTGAGAACCACCCAACTTTCACTTCCTCACAAGATAAAGTGTCTTTGTCTTTATTTCACCTCTTAGCATGTTGATGATTATAAGCATGCTTTTTGAACTGTCATGTGGTTTGCTAAAGGATCTTTTATCTTTTATCTTCTATCTTCTATCTTGTATCTTGTATCTTCTATCTTGTATCTTGTATCTTCTATCTTGTATCTTGTATCTTCTATCTTCTATCTTCTATCTTGTATCTTCTATCTTGTATCTTGTATCTTCTATCTTCTATCTTGTATCTTCTATCTTCTATCTTCAATCTTCAATCTTCTATCTTCTATCTTCAATCTTCAATCTTCAAACTTC